TTTAAAAATCACTGTGAAATACTACAATATAAAATTTCCCCTTTAACCTGAACATTTAGGTGGTGTTAAGTACATCACCTGGTTGTGCAACCACCACCCCATCCATCTCCAGAACCTTTTCACCCTACAGAACTGAGCCTCTGATAACACTAACTGCAGACCCCATCAGACACTAGCCCCACCCTTGCCCCGGCACCACTTCGTGCCTAGGGAGCTGTCTATGAACTGCCTACTCTGGGTCGGGAGCTCATACTGGTGGGATCAGACAGTCTTGGCCTTGCGGGGACTGACCTATTTCACTGAGCATGTCCCAAGAGCCCCTCTGCTCTGCCCACGAGTCAGGATTTCTGTACCCCACGAGGCCTCAGCAGTGTTGCAGGATATGCACAGACCCCGTGTTTGCCCACCCACCCACTGGTGGATACCGGTTGTTTGCAGCCTTTGGCTGTTGGGATCAGTGAGCCTGGGTGCACCGGCCCCTCCTCCAGACCCTGTTTTCTATTCTTTTGGGGTGGTCCAGAAGTGGCGCGCTTTCCCGAGGTTCTGACCTAGCCACCCTCTCCGGGCTCTGCTGCTCCCTGGGTTAGGGACAGCAGGGGTCGCCTTGGCACGTAGGCGCAGCTCAGGCGCAGTGCTGCGCAGACAAGCAACAAGCAGCCAGCAGCCTGGGATCTGAGGTCCCAAATTGCTGCGGGAAAACCACCGAGTCGCGGTCCTCCAAGGCCTAAATCTGTCCGGCGGGAGCGCGCCGGAAATGCAGTCGCGAGCCGGAAGTGAGTATAGAGCTGCAGGTCAGCGATGAAGCCGGCTGTGGACGAGACGTTCCCTGAGGGTGCCGGGCCTTACGTGGACCTGAAAGAGGTAACTACAGTTTAACTTCTTCCTTTCCTATCTTTATTGCTTTTATTTCCATTCTCTTGTCTAATTAGCTGCGGGGCCCTCGGGGTCAGCTGGGCCGCCATTGCCCCGGCTACCAGCAGGGATCCCGTCCTAGTCCCCGGAGGAGCCGTGTCCCGACCCCCCACGATAGCGGAGGCGGCGCCGCGGGGCTCTGGCAGGCGAGGGTAGCGAGACCTTCACAGGCTGTGAGCTGGCGTTGGGCGGCCTGGGAGGGACGTGGGCCCTGCTCCCGAGTGGGTGCTGTGCGGCAGCGGGCAGCTTTCTGATCAGGCCGCTTAATAAACTTTGTCCGCAAGGAAGGAGGTCAGGAGCATGGGTGACAAACTGGGAAAGAAGCAGCGCCAGCGTCTTAGAACGGAGAAGGGATTCGTGCATTTCTGTGCTTTCACTGTGATCTGGTCCTTTCTGTACGGTTGTACCGGGTCCTGAAATAGTCTTGGTTCTCGTTTCTTCCAGCACGGTCACAGACCGACCTTGTCGGGTGTCTAGTGCGCGGTGTTCTAGGTTCAGCAGCACGATACTACAGCCTAGCTGGGACTGTCAGGCCAACTCTGGGGTGTCAGAGCTGCCCATTCTCTTTTACAAAGTTTAAGGGGTCCAAAAATGGCCTGGCGCAGTTCCTGTGCTTAGGCACGTTGGGAATGGCTGACAGAGACTGATCGCACATACTAAGTGTAGTAGAAAAGTAGGGGCTCCCTGCAGAGGCACCTTCAGGGCTGTGAGTGGCTCAGCCTGGGCTTAGGAGAGGAGTGTGCTGTGCAGAGGCTGGGAGAAGGAACCCACGTCCTGGACACTCTGCCTCCGGAGTGCTGTGCTAGCGCCATGCACAGTGTCTGGGGAGGCCAGGGACCCCACAGTCCTGCCTGCACTCACCCAGTCTCCAGCAGGGCTCCTTTGCTGCGGAGCGAAGAGGCCAAGGCAAGAACGCAGGCCCTGGGCACTGACCTGCGGACCCCTAGGAGCTGGGCTGTCCTGACCAGTGCATGCTGGGTGTGGGATCTGCAGTCTGGGGAGATAAGGACGCGGTCATCTCCCCACCGAGGGAGGGGGAAGCTGTGGTTTCAAGGGGTCGCCATTTCCGGGACCGGGCGGGATCCACCGGGTGCCACCATGCTGCTCACCCTGGGGTTGCTGTAGGATGATTCATTCAGCTGTACTCAGATTCTAATTGTGCTTTCTGTGTTCTTTATCACAATTAAAAAGGTCTTTTAAAATGCTCTGAGTAACTTTTGAATCTGTCTAACCCTTCTGTTCTTAGGATTTATTCGCAAATGTGTGTCACTGAGGTACACAGTATGGATCTTTTCCCAGTTCTACATGCACATTGCAGACAACATTGTGTCATTTTCACTTCCATTTCCATGACGATTAGGCAGTTAGAACATTGCCTGTGTGTCAGTGGCTGTACTCCCCATGGTGAACATCCCTGGATAGCACTGGAACTCACTGGGGAAACCCACGCATGCTTAGGGCCTCTTCAGCACTCGGAGAGGAGGAGGGGTCCCCTGGGGAGGGAGGTTTCACAGGCATCAACCAGAGTGGGGGCCGCAGGAGGAAGCCCCCACACGACCCTCTTGTGCACTGTGTGGCTGAAACACGGGTGTCCTCCCCTCTCTGCAGCCCAGAGCCTGGCCCATCCTCATTGCTCAGCTCCGTCCATCCCCTGTGTCCTGGGGCGGCTGGAGTGCCGGCCCTGGGGGGCAGAGCGGTGGGCTTCCGCTCTCCAGGGAGCGGGGCCAGGAGGTGGGCTTGGCACTGCAGGGGGAGAGGTGGGTCTTTCTGTGTAGGAGTCTGAGCTGTTTCTGCCTACACAGTGCCTTTTCGAGGTCACCTAGCACCGCATCCACCTTCCCAGAGCACCTGCGCTGTGTGCAGAATCCTGTTTGCAGTTGCACCTGACAAAACCACTTGATTGTATCTATAGGTGCTGACCAAGAGATGGGTGGTTTGCACGAGGGAGTGGCCTTAGCCAAAGGCCTAGGAGTCCTGGTCAGCAGGGGCTTTAGTGGATTTCTGCTGGGAAGGGTTTAACCCTCACGAGGCCGGTGCACAGCTGCCACTACCTCCGCCTGCACCGCCCCCACCTCCATCAAATCCACCCACACCAGCACCTCCAGCAACCAGAGAGACAACCCAAGTGGCCACGGCCTGGGCCAGGGATGGAACTCCTGTGGCTGCCACTGCAGCAGGACCACCAGGGCTCGCTGGAGCCCCACCCACCCCTCCCTCCACCCCCAGGAGCCCCATGTTCTAGGCCTAGACCCCTTCTCCCCAGCCAGCTGAGGTCTGCACCTCTCTCCCTCTTGCCACTTTGCTCCATTTTCCTTCCCCTCTGGAGCCCCTAGGAAGAGCCCGGAAGGAGGGTCGCCAGCCTGTGTTTTGAGGGCAGGAGAGTGTGGGGTAGGCAAAGGAAGGCCTGGTCCTGGAACAAGGAAATGTGCACGGTCACAGGGCTGCCTGCTCTCACCCCTGGGGGCTGCTCTCCCTCTTTCCTTGTCTGCTGCAGAGGTTCCCTGGGGTCTCTTTTGGAGTTGGGAAGCTGGGAGTTCAGGCAAGGGCATGGGAGAGGCTTGGATGGAAGGAGGAGCCCGTGTGGTCTGTGAAGCCTGTACCAGGACAGGGGTCCTGAAAAAGGACGAGTTTCCCACAGCCCTTCCACAGCAACGACCCTGGGAGGGGAAAGAGAGGCACAGACAATGGAGGACCCCGGACACACTCCATTCCTGCCCTTTAGCCCAAGACGGGACTCCGTGTAGACTGTGCCCACAAACCTACGAGGGGACAGAGCCATGTTGCCCCACACCCGCCATAGCCCAGACTGGAGGATGTTTTCCCATACAAAAGAGGTCGCCTGCCAAATGAACCAGGAAGTAACCAGAATCTGCAGCCTCAGGATGGGCTGGCCAGGATCCCACTGGGCACAGTGCAGGTGCTCCATGCAGCCCTTTCCTGGCCCTATCTGCAGTAGCCTCGGAGACAAAGCAGAAAACTAGAGAATGAGTCCATTGACCCCGCATCCATCAACTTCAAAATACAGGAGACGTTTGAGGGGCACTTTAGATTAACATGGCCCTTTCCACACCTTGTCCGCACAAGATTCCTGTGTATCTGGTGGAATACGAGTTGCGTCCATAGCATGGAGTCGAGTCACCCGTCTTCAGAGATCCAGGGCTGCTGAACAGTCACCTACAGGATTCTTACCAAAAGATGGACCAGCGAGTCCTAGCACTAGGGGGCAGGGCCGCAAACTCCACCTGGCTGAAGGGGGGCTGGGGCCTGCACTGGGCAGGGCTGGACACGAGGAACCAGCCCCTGGGTGTTGGCGGGCCCAGGACCAGGGCGGGAACTCAAAATCCTGCACTGCACATTAGCACCCCTAGATGCTGCCCACTCCCTTCCCTGCCCACTGTCAGATCTGACTCCTGTCTGTGGCCCAGTAGGGCAGCATGTCCTTGGAGCCCCCATGGCGGTGCCCTTGCCCTGCCCTCGCAGCATCCAAGCGACAGGACAGGAAGATGCCACCCCACCCTGCTGGACCAGCTCAGACACCGGGGCCCTGCAAAGCCCGCAGTGCGCCCTCTGCTGGCGGTGACTCTCCTCCATCCTTACCATTTTCAGTCCGCCCAGGACCCTGGGAGGGGAGCAGGCCAGGCCAGGCAGCCAAATGAAGCCATTCATTCCCAAGCACGGAAATCAAATTCCACAGGACCTGTGGGACCAGCGCACCACGATCCCATCTGTATTTCCTCTTCCTGTCCTTCTGACCCATAAAGAAGTTGTATAAAAACAAAATATTTTCTAATTTTTATTTAAAACATTTCTGAACATTTTTGTTTATGGTGGGGAATATCTGTACATACAGGAGATCAAACTTTGTCCCTGAGCCTGGGAGGTATGCAGTGGAACCACTGAGCTGGAAATTTGTGGCATTTCCCTTGCTCCTATAGGGGTAGGTAACAGGGAGCGGGGAGGAGAGGAGGGACAGGGAGGCAGGGACTGAATGGGGAACAGTGGGGGCAGAGCCCTGGCCCCACTTCTCCAGAAAGGCTTTCAATCAAATTAAGGTGCATGGTGTCCATTTCCTCAGTGAGGTAGAAAAACCCCACAAAGGGATGAAGAACGAAGCCTGGGCCCTGATGGGTTTCTCACTCTCAGGCAGCTGGGGTTGTGGGGAGGACCCCGCCCGGGCCTCTTCTCCTGGGGGCTCCTCAGGGTGAGCAGGGCTCCGCTCTGGAGGATCTTGGGAGAGACAGCAGCAGGCACTGAGCGCTGTGCCCCTGCCCACTCCTGTCCCTGACCCCTTCCAGGCTCTACTCACCGCCGTCTGTGGCTGAAGCGGCAACGTCCCAGGTGCCCCTGGGCCCTGGCGTGGGCTCCTCACCATGGGTCTGTGCGGTGGCCACCAACTGGGCCTGACAGGACCTGCCATCGTCCTGCTGCAGTGCCACCTGCTGCAGCACGAGCAGCTTTACCCAGAGGGAGAGGGCACGGTGGGCACCCTGACTCCGCCCAGGAGATGTGCAGCCTACCTGCAGCGCTTCCGGGCCTGGGCACAGCTGGCTGCTGAACTGCTGCTTCTCCTGCTCTGCCTCCTCCTCCGCGTCCTCCTCTTCCTCCACCTCTTCCTCTTCTTCCTCCCCTTGTTCCTTCTCCTCATTTTTATTATGCTCTTGTTTCTCTTCCTCCTCCTCCCCTTGTTCTTTTTCCTCCTCCTCCTCCTGATGCCCCTCTTCTTTCCCTACCACCCACTCTCTGGGGCAGATGGCAGCGAGCTCTGCAGTGGGAGGAAGACAGCGGTCAGGCATCACTTGCAGGGTTCCCAAGCCCACACCTCACAGCCTCTGCTCCCTAGGCCATGTCTCTCCCCCTGCAAGACCCCAGCAGCAGAAGGAGCCAGAGCAGCAGGGTCAGGGCTCCATGCCCACCTGCCCTGCCCACCCTTCCCGGCCGGGCAGGACTGGCTCACCTGCAGCTTCCCGGTGGGTACACGGTCACCACTGCTCCTGAGGGTGGGAGCCCCCTCCACAGGTGTGTCCTGGATCAGGGCCACCAGATGGGCCACGCACTGGCATTGCCCATTCTAGCAGAAGGAGCCAGAGCAGCAGGGTCAGGGCTCCATGCCCACCTGCCCTGCCCACCCTTCCCGGCCGGGCAGGACTGGCTCACCTGCAGCTTCCCGGTGGGTACACGGTCACCACTGCTCCTGAGGGTGGGAGCCCCCTCCACAGGTGTGTCCTGGATCAGGGCCACCAGATGGGCCACGCACTGGCATTGCCCATTCTGCTGCCTCAGGCCTCTGGGCAGCGGAGCCTGGTGTTCCTGGGCAAGGTTAGGACCATCAGAAAAATGCAGTCTGCAGAAGTGGGTGTGGCTCCCGAGGGGTCACTCCTGACACAAAGGGGAAAGGAGCAGAAAGGAGCTCCCTGCTCTCACCAGCACCTGTGCTTGCCAGAGGATAAGGTCTGAGCAAAGACTGTCAGGGAAGGTGTGGGGTCCACGGAAACGAGAGGGTGGGAAAACCAAGGCACTGGGCTGTGCGAAGGGACACAGTGGGAGACAGGGAAAACACGGGGAGAGGAGACAGTGCAGTCATACTCACCAAGGCCTCTGAGCTGCCTGAGTCTTCCGGGATGGTGGTGTTGGACCCCGGAGCCTCCACAGGCCATTGCTTCACGTCCACTTCGTTGAAAAATGGGAGCAGCCAGGAGAGTTCCCAGTGAGACCCACAAGGGAGGCAGAGCGGCCCCAGGCCCCTCTGCACCCGCCTGTCAGGTCCCCTGGGCCACCACCCCCTGGGGGAGAATGAGCTGCACTGCAGAGGTCTCTTCCCACTCCACTTTCAGTTTCAGAGCGCTTCTCAGCCCACCCTGCCCCGGGCAGCTCCACTCACCTGCCCCAGCCAGGGCCAGGACTCTCAGCTGGGCTGCCTGCTCCTCCTGCAGCCTGGAGGGTTTCAGGTCCTCCTGTGGGCAGCATGCAAAGTGCAAAGTCAGAGGCAGCTGGGGGCCCCCCACGCAGGGCCCGCCTCAGCAGCTTCATCACCTGCATCTCCTGGCGGATTCGGTCCAGGGCCACCATTTTTTGCTGTCCTTTAGCTTGCCTTGCCAAGTTTCTGTGCAGAGCAAAGCGCCTACACAGGGCCTCCTTCTCCATGGCCAACTGCTGCCAGGACTCAGCATGCTGCCACACCTGGGACAACAGCTCGTCCCCCTGCTGCTGCAGGTGCTGGGCCTCCTGGCTGTTCAGCGCCATCTGCAGAAGAACCAGAGGTGAGGACAGGCGGGCCTGCTGCTCCAGAGCTGGAGCCCAGGAAGGTGGCGGGGGAACTCGGACCACCTGGCCTTCTGCACACAGCCTCAAGCCCAGAGCCTCCTTTCCCAGCACTTGGACTTCGGACCACAGCTGTGGAGAATCAGAGGAAGCCGACCCACAGGCACTAAGCACTCTCCCCACACCCTGTACTTCACACGCATTGTCTCATTGCACGCACCAGGTCTGGAGGACAACGCCACATCCTTTTCAAGTGATGGGCACCCAGGCTTGGCGATGTAACGCACAGAGCTGCTGGGACCCAAGGAGCCTCCCCTCCTATCCTGAATCTTCCTTTCAGGGCTCTGTGGCCTCCAGCAGGAACAGTGAAATCAGGACCCAGGCAGAGTCCAGACCCACCCACCACTACCTGTCAGAGGCCCGGAGCTGGAAGCAGTCACAGAAACGCTCAGGAGCACAGTGCAGGACTCTGGGGTCACCTGTCCCCGAGCTGTGAGAGATCAGTCCTGGCCCAGCACCTCCCCTCCCCATGGGTGGCACGACTGTCCTTGCATAGTCCCAGGGGGTGGGAGTTACCAATGCTGTGATTTCACACAGCTTCTCCTGCAGCTGGCCCAGCTTCCTGGCCAGCGCCTTCTTCTCAAGCTGCTCTGACTGCAGCGCGCTGGCCAGCTGGTGTTTTTCTTCTGCCTGTGGAGAATGGGAATCAATGCCACCGAGACAGCCAGGCCCGAGTTGCCAATCTGGCTGACCATGGGGCAGGGCAGAGTGGAGAATCATCCCTGTCCCCAGCAGAGGCTCCAGCAGGGTTCTGCCTCATGGGCAACTTCACAATGGAGGCCTGCAGAGCCCCATTGTGCTGTGGGGAGAAAGGAACTGTGCTGCTCTGCCTTAAAGGACCTGGTGGGGAGGAACCTGGGGAGCATGGGCCACGCACCAGCCTTAGGACACTGTCCTGCATCTGGGCCAACTGCTGTCTTAACTCTTGCAGCTCCATGTGAACTTCCGAGGGCTCAGCTGGGGGCTCCAGGGCTGGGGGCACTGCTGAGAAGGGAAGTAGTAGTAAAGTTCTGGGCCTCTCAGCGCTCTCCCCTACAGTTCCTGTGTGGGGTTGGCAGTGGGCACAGCACCCCTCTCTCCGATGGGGACACAGAGGCTCAGTAGATGACAGGATTGCTGGCTCCTGGCACAGAGCCCTTTCTGTTTGGCCCAGTGCCCTTGAATGCACCTCCCTCCTCGGGGTCAGGATAAGCCACACCCCCAGCCAGGGGATCAGGTCCAACTCCCAGGTCACACTTGTCCTCACTCACCCATCAAGCTCCTCTCCAGCTCCTCCACTCTGGCGCCTAGTTGTTCCTTGGCTTCCCTCAATGCCCTCAGCTGCCCAACAAGGCACAGGGCACCGTCAGCAGGGGGGGACTGCCGACCTCAGGCCCATCCATCCCCTAAGTGTCCGCCCCTCTCCCCACTTCTGCCCCAATGTGCCTTACCTCCTTCATCACCCCCTGCAGCTCAGTGGAGACCCTCCTAGGGGTGGAGACACAGGGTCAGGGTGCAGGTAGCTGCATGGGGAAGAGGCTCAGGGGCAATGGCCTGCCCTGACCCCTCAGCCTAGGGACTGTTGCCCCAGAGGAGACACTCACTCGTTCTTCTGAAGGAGCTTGCGCCCACTGGCAGCATCCTGGCTCTGTTCAGAGAGAAAGATAGGAACCTGGGATTCCACTTCCAGTAAGACTCCCCCAGGGGTGGTCTCAGCCCAGCTCCCTGCCAAGCCCTCCACCTCCCAGACCTCACACCCTGGGGTCTGTCAGAGAGCCTGAGCGTAAGTGGCTCTTCTCACCGGCCTGCCTTGCCTTGAGGCTGAGCAAAATCCAATACCACCTACCATTTACTGAACGCTTGCTCTGTGCGGGGCCCAAGGAGATGACACAAAATGGTGTCAATTCAACACCACAAATGTGCATCCGATCCCCACTTACGTTTAATGGCACTGTTGCTGGTGCGACCCAGGGCTTGGTATAAGCTTGTCCCGCACCCGACCACTGAGCTGTAACAGATCTGCCCCTCGAATGCAGATTTCTTCCATGCACCTGACACTGTTCTCACACGATCCTTGACCCTCTACTGCCATTGGAGCCCCATCCCCAGAAGCCAACACTGACTCACCTTGTCAGGTGGGTGACAGGCTCCACCGGTAGATGCACGCATTTTCTGTATGCTTTGCCACTTTGGGCTTTTTAGGAACTCTCTCAACTGCACAAAGGAAAAGCAATAATACTGATGAAAATGATGAACCCCCGTGGCCACATCCTCCTCTTGCCTAGTTTCTACAGCACACCCTCATGCATACCATCAGCTGCAATGCACCAACAACCTACAAAGTGCTGTAATGATCAGTTAATGCCTGAGCAAAGGAGCTCTCCGTGTCTACAAAGAATATACTGATGAAAATGATGAACCCCCGTGGCCACATCCTCCTCTTGCCTAGTTTCTACAGCACACCCTCATGCATACCATCAGCTGCAATGCACCAACAACCTACAAAGTGCTGTAATGATCAGTTAATGCCTGAGCAAAGGAGCTCTCCGTGTGTCTACAAAGAAGGAAGGGGAAAGAGAGTTGGCACCATGCTGGTGGCCTGTTGTCCCAAATACTGGTGACACTGCAACAGCAAGACCATCAGACTGATTCAAGCCTGAGATTCAAAACCATCTCCAAATAGAAATAATAAAAAATAAAACATCTTAGGCATGGAGTTCTGTGCCTCCTGGAATGGCACCCTAAGGCTAACAAACCAACAAAATAAATAAAGCCACAGGGCCGAGGTTCAGTTCAGCAATAGAGAGCTTGCCTCCCTTGTGCAGGCTGTGAGCTTATTCAACACTAACACACACACACACATATACACACACACACACAACATGAGAATTCAACTGTGAGGTAGAGTGTTTAGGAAATACTTGTAAGTTTCTCTGAAGAGCAGAGTCCTGGGAGAATACCCACACAGACCTGTCTGTCCTCCTGCACTCAACCAGAGACCTTGTCAACCTTTGGGCCTCCCTGATGATGGTTTCAAGCTGGCAGTGTCCAAGCCAGGGAACCTGAAGTCTCTCTGCACCCATTCCCACATCCCATCCCATTCCAAATAGAAATCTGTGACTCCACCAGAGAAACTGGACAATGGCTAAAGACACTTGAGGGGACCGGGTGGGAAGATCCAGGGCCAGGTGAGGGGCGCTGATGACAGTGTCTATGGGACTGGGCCTTAAGCACATCCTCCTCCTGCCTCCCTGTCCCCAGAACCTGTCTGTGCCCCTGCCCTCTGCTCTTTTCACAACGGGGACGGGACAAGGCAGTGTGATGGAGGGCTCCGGGAGGTCTGCTGTGGGGTGGCAGGAGGCCCCAAGAGTGACTGCAAGCCTCACAGATGCCAGGATGGGGGCTGGTCTGGGAGGACCAGGGCGGTGAGAGGGCTCAGTGGGGGCACTGGGGCAAGAGGTCCCTTCCTACGTGGCTCAGGGGTGACACAGGCCCCGACCGAGGAACGGCCAGCTGGACACTCAGTCTGGGTCCAGGGGCTGGGACCCTATGCGTTTTACCTTTTTCCTGGCCCTGGCCAATTTCCTCTCCCTGCAGGTTTCTTCTGAAATGCCCTGGCAGGGAGGGGGAAAGAGGTGGGACCACTTCAGCACAGTCCCTTCCATCATTTGGAAATTCTCTCCAATAGTCTCTGTGCGGCTCAGCTACCTGCCTACAAGAGGCGTAACCAGGGCGGCACTAAACTCAGCACAGGGGCTGTGGCCCCAGGCCCTCTCACCCCATTGGTTGAGTGCGTTGATGACATCATAAGGCCCTGGGGAGGCCTCCAGCATGGGTGGGGGTGGGGGATAGGTGGCATCCCAGGACAGCTGCGGGCAGCTGTTGGTCCTGCCTACCCACAGGGAGCTGGGACAGGAGGGGCTGGCAGGAAGGGTCCGGACAGTTCACAGTTTCTCACCAGTCCCCCTGATAGCTGTGTAGAGGGCGTGCATTCCATTCAAACAAAAACAGGACACGTTACCAATAAAAGTCACCCTAAGAGAAAAAGGCTAAACAGAGTTCCTGAAGGACAGGGAAAGGCTTCTACATAGACTTGATCTACAAGCGGGACTAAAGAGCAGCGATGAATACGGGCTTAACTCTAAACAATCTGCCAAATGGAAACACCAAAAGGAGACACAGAGCAAACAGATGTCCAGACAACATAGAGAAAATGAGAATGAAGTTGAGGGACCCAACTGGAAGGACAAAAGCAAAAGCTTCAGTCTGAAACTTAGTTAGGAAGAAAGGGGAAGGTAAAGCAAAAACAAGAAATGGTGTCAGCAAACACACAGAGAGAATCCAAGCCTAACACATCAGTGAGCACTGCCAGTGGAAGTGGCTCAACTCCCAGTGCCAAAAGGAAACAGTGTCCAAGCTTATCTTTGAGGAGGGAACTCACCTCTAGGAGGAGCCGCATCCGACACTAACATGACTCCTCCAGGACTAGAGGGAGAGCAGGGGGAAAGAAGTGTGGGCCAAGGGGAAGGAAAGGCCCGTGAGGCAGCTGCTCCACAGCCCTGGAAACAGACTCCGGGAAGAACAGTATTCCTCTCCCGGGGCCACGCCCTGTGGAAAGGTGAATTTCATCCGGCACTTAGGACAATGCTGTGTTTGTGGGACCTTCCTGGGCTCCAGGGGAATACTCCTCTCCCGCCCGATGGAGAACGAGTGGGGACTGGGTGCCTAGCATTTTCTAGGATGGACTTTCTCCCAGTGACCCCATGCAGTCCTATGACGTGAAACACCACTTGTAAACTCATTCTGAACATCACATCTGCAGTCAGCACCCCTTCGGTGAACTCCAGACACATGGAATCCACTGTCTGTCCTTGTGACATTTCCTTTGGGTGTCTAAGAGCATCTCCAACCTCCTAAGTCTAACCCTCGGCCTTTAGTCTCTCTTCTGGCACAGGCTCTTCTCCTAGGCATTAGCATCTCCCATAAAGCAGACCCCACCTCTCCATGCTTAGGCCCAGATCAATGGACTCATTGGAGGGATCACTTCCTCTCCTATCTTATATTCTGCTAGCGAGTCCAGTAAAATTTCTTGCTGTCTTTTGGTCTCCTTCTTCTTGTGGTGTGGAGGATTGAATTCAAGGCCTTTGCACTGAGCTATTGAGTTCTTAGCTTCTACTTTCAGGCCTCCTTCCTCTCTCGCCTTTTGTGCTTGTTTGTTTTGTTTTGGCCATTGCCTCCCCTCTTTGAAGAAAAGCCAAACCCTGATTTCTCTCCACCCCAAATGTTCCCACCCTGCCTGAGCTACCGAAACCTCTCCCGTGGGCGACAGTGTCTGCCCTCTTCACTGATATGCCTGCTTCCACCTCTGATTTCCATGTGTGCCCAGATCCTCCTAGAAGTTATATCAAGACAGGATCCAATGTGCACACAACTTGTCGTGTCAAACCCTGTGAGAGAAAATGGCCAAAGAAACAAGAGAGACTGGCATAGCATCCAGAGTGCGAAGCAAGGGAGATGTCAAATGAAGGCAAGAAGGCAGGTTAGGTGCGAGGTTGTAGGCTTCTGTGTGCTTAGGAAAAGTTGAGTGAGGCTGCTGGGGGCTCCTGAGCCAAAGCCACCTGCAGGGAGCTCTGGGATTCCTTGTGTGGACCTGCCTTGGTCTGTCTCCCTCCGGGCTCCGTAGAGACCCGAGAACAGTGGAAAAGCAGTGGGAAGCAGTGGGAAACCAGTGGAAAGCATGGCCTCCAGCCCTGCCTCTGGGCTTGCCCGGAGTTCTGACTCCTGCACCCAGCCATCCAGAGCGCTCCCAAGTGACTGCAGCTCCAGCTCTTCCATCTGTTCTCAGCTCTGAGGCTCTTGCTCAATTGCCCAGGCTGGGCACAGCCTCAAGTGCCACCTGCCTCAGTTTCCCAATATGGGGATTCCACAGATGCACCACCTCACCCTGTGCAGTCCGAGCGTCTTTAGGTTGATGTCCTTTGGGAAGTTTTCGTCTGGTCTCCCTGCCATCACTCCTAAAGGCAGCAGATGGTTTTGGAATGAGTGGTCAGAGAAGTCAAAACAACAAGCCCTTTATGGAAAATTGGTTCACACTGCGGCCTGGGCAGGAAAGACAGGGTGTGTTGGAAACATCTCCCTCTATCAGAAAGTGAGAAAGTGCTGGAAATCCATGGGAACACAGGCTACTCTTTGAAGGGCTCACATCGCTCAACTTTGGGTTCATTTGAGCACCAAAATAAATGACAGCCGTTTTGTATTCCAATTCACTGATTCGTCAAAAAGTTTGGCGTCTACTTATAATTCCAGCACTCTGGAGGCAGAGGCAGGAGGACTGCCATGAGTTCAAGGCCAGGCTGGTCTATACACGGAGTCTGAGTTCAGTCTATACTACACAGTGAGACCCTGTCTCAAAAAAATGATCAATAATTCTATCTTCAGGGTTCCCAAGTGCAGCCTTCGGGCACACACAGGGTACACATCAGGGTGGCAACAAAAGGTTGCTCCAGGCAGCGGCCCTGTCGGGAGGCACCTGTTCCCAGCAAGGTGACCCGGCAGGCTGCAGACAGACTTACAGGGGTGAGGCTGCCACGTGTGCGGCACAGGCAAGTGTGCTGTCTCAATTTCCTAAGTGGGAGAGGGGACGGTAGCCAGGGCCTTCACACTGAGCTACACACCAGCTCTCTCATTTTGAGACAGAGCGTCAATAAATCACTAACTCACCCAGGCTGGGCTTGAACTTGTGATCCTCTACCCAGCCTCCCAGTGTGTGCCAGTATGCCAGCTGAGCACTGCCATCCTTTATCAAGCTCTAGCACGTGGGAACAGAAAACTGAGTTCATTCATACTTCAAGTTAGTATGTACAAAAAGTACGTCTGTACCCAACACACACACACACACACACAC